CTGTCTGTAGGCTCGGCAGTGCTCTTCAGCGTCGACCCGCGGTGCCTGTGGTCTGTTGCGGGACATTGCAAGTGCCCTCAGAAAATATTTATTTTGGAAAGAGAAAGACCATTACCTGCACCGCAGGGACAAACCAGCTGTGTTTGCAGCCTGTGTCAGAGCGTGATGTCTGCCCGGGAATTTATTTGCGTTGAGCTCAAATCAGCATAACATCAACAACGATGAAAGAGATCAGGCTGGTTGGCATCAGATGAGACCCATGTTCACGGACGCTCCCTGTGGGCGGTATTTAAATGGCTAAGGACAGTGTCACCTGTAGATCGCTGTGCAAGGAGGGAGGCGTGACTCCAAGATTCGCCTTTAGCAACGACCAGCAGAAGTGACTCGACCAAAAAAGCTTTCCGGCTAATCCGGAAAGTGAAGTTCGTACCTAATGGCTGTTTCGGAGAGGGGAAAACGGTGCTTTGGTGTGTCTGTAACTCATCAACTGTGTTCATCCAGACCAGAGCTGCTAGTTACGGTCACCAGCCCGCCCGCCCGCTGGCACAAACGCCCACGGTACACCCGTGAAGTCAGGACGGGGTTTCAGCCATGAGAAGGGGCTAGCTGGAAATCCGAGGGCTTCTTATCTCCCTAAACGGGAGGGATCCGGTAACGTTTTACTCGAGGGGCGACTCGTCAGTGCCCAGACCGCCCCGACGCTGTGTTGCCTTGGGGCTGGAGCACGGCTCACCAAGCCCGTCCCCGCCGGTGCGGCGGCGGCCACGGGGGAGTAACTGCTGAGTCAGCGGTCGCTGTGCTTCAGAGGAGCAGGGACTTGTGGAATGGGACGGGCACCGTGGCTTAAACGCTCTGTCCTTATTATCTGTCCTGATAACGTCGTTGCTCCCTACTCTGCAGGAATCAGCCGTTGCCTCGCGATGCCTCATCACCAATGGCTTTTTTTGGCATCTCTTAGCTTTACGTCTAAGACACTTCCACATCAGAAAGCTTTTATTAAGGCAGCTTTTTTCTTTGTTGCTTTAATTTTCAAATTGACTTTGAGTTCGTGTAAGGGAGCCGCAGAAATGCAGCCTCAGGTTGGAGGCGTGCCTGCGGACGTGCTCGGGGACCGGGGTTATCTGCTCGGGGAACTACCTTATCTCTGGGAGCCAGAGGGGTCTGCTTATGCCCTTGCCTCCCTTGCTGCAGTGATCCGGGCCCTTGTTGATTTGCTTGGGTTAAGAGGTGGAAGAAAATGAGAAAACTTCATCCTGGTATGTGCTTGCCTTTTTTTTTTTTTTTTTTTAAAGACAGAATGCTATTAAAACCAAGCAAAACAAATTATTTTCATTAGCTATAATGTAGGACATAAAAGGAACCACATTTTCTGTATAAAAGAAAATCATTATAATGGAGAGTAAAACCATGAATCGCTGTATTGGACAGAGGTTAGAAAAAGCTTTTCCTAGAAGGCAGGCCTCCTGCTGTGCATTAGCCTTTTTTTCTGTTATTTATTAGCTTCAGCTCAAGCAGAAACTGTGTTAGTGATCTAATTTGTATGGAAATACTGCACTCAAAATACTCCCAGTACTCTATTTTTGGAAGGCCTATGGGCGGGCTGACATCTCGGTGATGGCCACCACCACCACGGCGATGTTCCAACCGCTGCCGGTGGCACCCAAAAGCACTGTTAGAGGTTGCGGTTTGGGAAATGGGTTCTCAGAAGTCAACGTGTGACTCTGGGCCCTTTGAAATACCAGATTCAGTGTTTCCTTACCCAGTTTAAAGCAGAGAGGACAACTGTCTCCTACCGGAGACACGTGCCAGCCTTGCTGGGTCTCAACGTGCTGGGCTGGTTTGCTTACACTTGGCCTGTCTGTCTGTCTGCACCATGACTTCTGGTTTCGATAGCTGTTTTTTCATTCGTGCTGCCTCTAGGGGTATAGGAGGTCGCCCATGAGGTGGGCTCCATGCAGAAGGCGCGTTTCAGCAGTCGGGTGATGCTGCTGCGGGTCAGCATCACTCACGGCAGGGCGAGACTGAGGCTGTCTGTTGTATGTAGGTGTTAGTTTGGAGATACCTCGTAGCTGAAGTACGTCATGCTGTCTTCGCCAGACAGTTCCACCAGAGGAAGGAAAAATGCAAAAGAAGAGGTGGCATCACACCAGGGGTCAGCGTAAATCAACAGCCCTGTGAGAACCCCAGAAATAGTCACGAAGAGCAACAACCTCATTTTCAAATGCTTTTGTAATGGACGGTGTTGCTGGACAGCCTGAACGTTACACCATGATCAGCCTGGCTCCCAAGTGCCTTTAAAGACACTCTGGAACTTGCAAAATTTATGGAAACCTAAATCCATGCTTTTTTGCTACCATACCACCGAGTGGTATGGTTCTTTCCCTGTGGCCATGCCGCATGCTGCCTGGCTTGGGCACCGCTCTGCTTAGAAGCATCAACATGGGTGCTGCAACCTCTTGTTTGAATTGCTCCAAATGTCTCTGAAATTCTTGGCGAAATTTTTATAGCGTTGGGCCCGTGTTCTTCACAGGGTCGGCTTGGAGTCCCTCCTCCACCCCTCCGGCCGGCAGCCTGGCTACCCGCAGAGCAGCTAAGGTACCCCACCGTGGTGATGTTCCCCACCTCTGCTTTACTCTGGGCTCTCCTGGGTGCTCTCTGGCCCAATCCTTCTCACAGCGCCTGCCATCACTGCGCTCAGCCTGCTCTGAGAGGAGAGGCGGACCAGAATGCGGTGCAAAAGTTAACATTAATCCCAGTGAGAGGATTTTGTTGCTTATTGTGGACTTAGTCCGTAGCTGCAGCCCTACCTTGCAGGAGACGGTAGCCATCAGCGACGGCTGTACGGGCGGAGGCATGCTTGGTCCCTCTGTGCAGGGGAAAATACATATCTCCAAGATGATTGCACAACGTTTTCTAAAAACACACTTGGAAGAAAGAACGAAACAGCCTTAAAAGAGTTACGGGGTGCCAGAAGCTTTATTTGTTCCATCTGGGAACTGTCAGGGGCAAGCTCCGCCGCACAGACGGAGCCATTGCAGGAGAAATAAAGCTCCAGCGATGCACACCCGGATTTGATGGGGAATGGCACTTCCCAGCACGGTCCTGGGAGAAGCTCAAAGCTGTCGTGCAGAGAGTCCTGCCCTCGGGGTAAACCTGTGAGCTTCGCCCCTTGGGGCAGGAGAGCCTGGAAAAGGCACCAAGAAGCCGCGCGTCGCAGCCCCGGCCGGTTTGAAGGACGGCAGCGCAGCGAGCATCTCCTGGTGCTAAGTCGCTTTGCTGCGGATGGATAGCGCGCTCGCGTTCGGAGCAGGGCAAGGATACGACAGATGTCGGAGGGGGTTTATTGCCTAACGAGTAACGCGGCCAGTCGCAGTCCCGCTTGGCTGTTGAATGCCTAAAAGACGAGAAGTGTGCAGGGCTTTGCCCGTCGGAGAGGAGGGCTGAACAGGAATGTTCACTTCACTTACACTCCTTTTTTGGTTTTTTTTCCTCACTGTGAAAGCAACAATTTTATTAATAATAGGGTTGATTAACAAGAAGCGAGGTATAATTTAGAGAAGAAATAAATAGTGGCACGTTTCCTTGTGTTCATCTTGGAGTGCTAGGAAGGGGAGCAGCACCTTCAGCTGCCCTCTGATGACTGAAGCATGAAATAAACCCAAGTTCCTTTAAGCCTGAGGTTAACCACAGCATCTGTCAGTCATTCTGCTTTGAATTTTCTGTGCCACTAGAGGAGTATCTAAAAAAAGGAGGAGGAGGATGGTGTCCCTTGGGGATGAGGAAGCCCACAGGAGAAGCACGCAGAAGATGCGGTGGGAATACTGAGGGGACAGTCCATTTCATGGTGCTTTTTCCAAAGACTGGGAAACTGAGAAATACATAAATCCTCCCAACTGTTCTGCTGGTATTTTGGCATTATTTTATAGACGATAAAACTGAGGGACAGAGAAGGCGAAGAATCTTCTCTGGGCTGCGCCGGAGCCGTGGGAGAGCCGGGATCGGTGCGCGAGCAGTGAGGACAGCTTGCACGGGCTGTTGGGATATAGGGAAAGGTGTCTTGAACGTGTGATGCTTTAGGTAATTCTGTGGAACTAACGGTTGTGCATGAAGCTAGGAAAAAATGAAACCTACACAACGGAAAGTTAGCTTCAGACATAAACAGGTATTGTGAGTGTCGTCTTTTTTTCTAAAGACAACTCCTATGAGACTAACAGTGCAGAAGGTTTGGGGTGTTTATCTGAACCTCCCTCCGTAACTTGATTATCCAATGCACGTTTCTTCACCTGTAACATAGAGACCCACATTAGTACTGGGAACAAATCTCCGTGTTCCTGGGTGCTTTGAAACCTCAGGTTTGCGCCAGAGGTTTTGGCGGGGGGGTGGGGGGGGGGCGTGTGTGTATTTAGTGACATTTATGTATTGCAGTAAGTACGTCCAAATTATCTCTTTTTTAAATCCCAAGATTTGAAAAAAATCTAAGACCTCTTTCTTATTTCTTCCTTTTTGTAGGCTATCACAAAACTTGAATTTGACAGGTAAACACATTTTTCTGTTTTCTAGGTACAAGATACTGCTTTAGCCAACACATGATGAAAGTCACTGGAGAGAGCGTATCCGTCACCAAACGCTGTGTACCGTTAGAGGACTGTCTGTCTACGGGATGCATATATGTAAAGCATGAAGAATACAAGGTACAGGATAAAAATTGCCTTTTTCTCCTGTGAAAGCTGGGCAGAATCCTTCTGGCCTCTGCCAGAAGTCTGACAGGTTCAGTGAGTAAATCAGCATCGTCAAAAATGAAGTTTCTCGTCTTAACGAGGTCCAGCTCATTTCCATTTGTTACAGAAACAAAGGAATAACCTCTCCCAGAACAAAAGCGTAATCTCTTTAAATAACTCTCCTGCCAGCCAGCAGCTCGGGGGAGCAAACCAGGCGCTTTGCCTGCGGAGCTGCGCCGTGCGTGGTCCCCTCTGCTCCGCAACGGGTGCTCGCCCACCGTCGCGCGGTTTTCTCACTGAAGCGGGTGCGGGGGAAGCCCCGCAGCCTTTGGAGCAGACGCTTTATATCTGAATCAGTTATTTATAAAGGGGTTTCCTGAAGGTCGATAGTCGACCTTTTTGAACTTCTCCAGCAGGTTAAAATAAAAGAGCTTTCTGAGCTGCCAGGCATACAGCAGCCCCATCTCTGTTTTGCACGTAATTTTACGCTCTCTTGGCCTCGGGTGCGTTAGTCTCGTTGCTGTAAAGCCCTGTGCTCCGGCAGGGTACTGTAGCTGGCCCTTCCCAGCCCTGAGAGGGCAGAGCTGCACGTCCTCGGGGGCTGCACAGCAGTTGTCTATCGCTCCCGTGCCTGCACGCTGGGTGATAGGCAGCGAAAAAAAAAACACCTATATGAATAAATACTGACTTCTTTGAGTTCTGACCTGTGAGCTCTACTTCAACCCAACAACGCTGGTTTTCATCAGTTTTTAAGTTGATAAGTTTACTTATTTGGGGTAAAAAAAGAAAATAACCTCTTCAAAATGGATGTGTCCTCCTTGTGCTAGCCAACGTACCATTCCTGTATGGGTGAAATTGTTCTCCAAGGAGACGGATTTAAAAAAAAATGGGTCTCAAGGGGGGCGGATTTAAGAAAAAGGAGGAAAAAAAAAAGGGGGGGGGTGGTGGAATCAGACTGGCCATTGCGCTCCTTTGCAAATGTCATATTATTTTCCTTGTTCAGTGGCACCGGTATTTTTCAAATAACCAAGTTACAGCCTGGTTTCTTTTCAGATCTGCACCTCCTGCTGCGAAGGGAGCATCTGCAACTTGCCCCTGCCAAGGAACACAACTGACGCCGTATTTACAACTCTCTCCCCGCTCAACAAAACGCAGAGGCTTTCCCGCCCCGTCCTGCTGACAGCGGCGTGTCTCTGGTTGGGGTTGATGTCGCAGCGCTGGGCCGCGCTGCCGCGCGTGGCGGGTCGGGGCAGCTGAGCCGCGTGGGAACATCCGCACGAAGATCCAACCTCTCCCTGCGGAGCCTATCCGCACGAAGATCCACCCTCTCCCTGCGGAGCCTGCGCCTGCGGCTTCTCTTCGAAAGACTGGTTTTCCTCATTATTTTTCGTTGATGATGAACTAGCGAGCCTGGGATGTAGACGTATTTGAGGGGGGTAAAACCATCGCACGTCTCTGCTGTTTCCTGAAGAAACTGGTGCCAAACTTTCCCAGGATCCATGGCTGAGACTGATACATCCACTTTTCTTAATGCCTGTCTTCTCTCCGTGAAGAAATGTTATTTCAAAGTACCGTATCACTGCCAGCTGCTATTATCATCGCTCACACATTTGAAATTTTTCGTTATAATTTGTCGCAGCACTAACTCTGGTGTGTTGTCAACCCGTTTTTTGAGAACATACGGGTAATAATATGTAGCCAGCGTGTTTTTGCAGTCTCTCCGCATCTCCTGCTCCCCTCGAAAAGGCCAGGAGCTCGTAGCAAGCCCGCAGTAGCTGGAAGGAATGAGGTCACAGCTTGGACCAGGCCAGCGTCGCGCACAGACGCTGCCTCCGAGGTTGTCCACCAGCAGCACCAAGATCCACCCCCGTCGCAGCGCGCGCTGGGACGTGCGGAAAGTCGCTTTGATTTATAAATCGAACCGGAGAAACTCTAAAAACTCTGCTCCTGAAGCGTGACTGGAGGGGAGGGGAGCGTGCAGGGCCCCCGGCTGCGAGGAGGAAGGCGTAGGGA